ACTTTTAGTGCAAACTACTAAAGTTTCTTTATTGAGAGGATTTGGATCAGGCAGGTCACCATAAGCTCTGATGTGACAGTACCATAATGGTCCTTTGGACCCATTCCATAATGGAGTAGGAAGGCCAGACCTGTTTAACCAAATACTGGGTGCTCCCTGTAATGCTCAGTGGGCATCATGTGCAAGTTACATGGCACTTTAATGGAGGACCACTAAAATGACAAACTGGAATAAAGACATTGAAATAGCAACTTTCATCCCTCTTTTTCTCCCTCCCTTCCTTCCATCCTTTCCTGCCTTCTTTGCTATTCTTTCCCTTTTTTATTTATTTCCATTTTATCTTTATACAGGCTGCTGACAAAAACACACATTACACATATGTTACACACATGTTACTACAAGATGAACTATTAGAGACTGGGGAGACTAATACTGCTGCACATGCAATCAAGACATTCCTCTAGGTGTAGCCAAGAGTTAGAGATCAGGACTCAGACAAGCCCAAGCACTGATTAATACAATCTCTTAAATATGCCTGAAATGTGATGAAAATTCTATCTATAGTTATTCTACCTTAGTTAGCTTGCTTTTCTTTTGTTAAAATGAACTCTTATAATTTTTTATTAATCACCAGATGATGTATGATCCAATTATAATACATCATTTATCTTTCTGTTTATCTAAACTTTCATCTGTATAGAGGCATAGAGAGATGTCTGGAATAATATTCACTTAAGGTTAACGATGGTTATTTCTGAATGGTAAGAAGTATTTTTTTTAAGTTTTTTTTTTAATTTACTTTGAGAGAGAGAGATAGAGAGCAAGTTGGGGAGGGGCAGAGAGAGAAGAAAAGACAGAATCCCAAGTAGGCTCTGCACTGTCTGTGCAGAGCCCGAAGCGGGGCTCCAACTCACAAACCGTGAGATCATGACCTGAACTTAAACCAAGTGTTGGATGCTCAACTGACCCAGCCACGCAGGCACCCCAAAAGTATTTTTTGCTTTATTTTTTGTGCTTTTCTTAATGGCTTGAATTTTTTAAATGAGTATGTATCTTTTTTAAAAAATATTGAAGTTGTTAATTCTTTAATAAAATCATACAAAATAATGATTTTCCACTTATCTAGCTCTTGTTAAAAGCGACAAATATGAAATGAGAAGTTATACTGGTAAGCCCTTACATATTATGAGAAAAATTGTGTAAATATTATAATTACCCAGGTGAACCAACAAAATTTAAGATGCAATGTATCAGTGGGTTGAGTGACAGATTCTTGATTTCTGTTTGGGTAGTGATCTCCTGGTTGTGAAATTTAGTCCTGCATTGAGCTCCGAACTGAGTATGGAGCCTGCTTAAGATTCTTTCTCTCCCTCTTTCTTGCCCCCAACCTACTTGCTCACGCACGCTCTCTTTCTCAAAATAAATAAGTAAATATACTTAAAGGGCACCTCGGTGGCTCAGTCACTTAAATGACTGACTTCAGCTCAGGTCATGATCTCACAGTTCACCAGTTCAGGCCCCACATTGAGGTCTGTGCTGACAGCTCAGTCTGGAGTCAGCTTGGGGTTCTGTGTCTCCCTCACTCTCTTCCCCTCTCCCGCTCATGCTCACACGTGCACTCTCTCTCTCTCTCTTTCTCTCTCTTAAAAATAAATAGACATTAAAAAAAGTTATCACTGGGGCGCCTCGGTGGCGCAGTCGGTTAAGCATCCGACTTCAGCCAGGTCACGATCTCACGGTCCGTGAGTTCCAGCCCCGCGTCGGGCTCTGGGCTGATGGCTCAGAGCCTGGAGCCTGCTTCCGATTCTGTGTCTCCCTCTCTCTCTGCCCCTCCCCCGTTCATGCTCTGTCTCTCTCTGTCCCAAAAATAAATAAACGTTGAAAAAAAAAATTTAAAAAAAAAGTTATCACTAAATAAACTTTAAAAAAAAGATGCAATGTATCAAAGCCAGAAATCACCCAAATTAGGCAAACAAAATAAATAAACAGTACAGTGAAATACAAATAAACCTTGATTCTGCTAAGGCCATTTCCAGTGTAATTGAAAAATTAAATAAAAAATTTGCTATCAAAGATTCTAGAAAGAAAACCAGCCTGTGGGCATGGTGGGGAGAAACAGAGAGTCCCACAGGACTGAGACCTTTTCTCTAGTCCTTGATGGCATCCCAAAAGGTGTCCCTATTAAGTGTTTTCTCTCAGTGGTTGTTTGTTTATTGTTCTTTTTTAATTTACTTATTTTGAGAGAGAGAGAGAGAGAGAAGGTGCACCCTCTGGGGAGGGGCAGAGAGAGGGAGAGAGAATCCCAAATAGTCTCCATGGTGTCATCACAGAGCCTGAAGTAGGCCTCGATCCCATGAACCTCAAGATCATGACCTGAGCCAAAATCAAGAGTCAGGTGCTTTAACCAACTGAGCTATCCAGATGCCCCTTTGTCTCAGTCTCTTTGAAGGATCAGCTTATAGCAAAGTAAGAGGGGTTGCATAATATGAGAAACCCGTTACTGATCATTAGAGTTGACCTTTGGCCAGAAAATGCCAACTTCCTTCCCTGTGGAAAGACAGCATCCAGAAATCTCTGACTTCTTAGATTGAGATCTTGAACTTCTAGAAATTGGGTTCAAAGAAAAGCATCACCTGCTGGAAAGGTTACTACAAACAGCTGCCAGTCACCAAATGAGGAGTACTGTGGGTTACACATTTATATTATGGCTGCAAACATAGAGAATAACCAGATCTTCCCATAAAGAATATACTTTGTGGCTTAAAAACAAACAGTAGATAATACATGACAAGAGGGAAATCCACTTAGATAGCAAATTCACTAACTTAAGGTATCTATTTACAAATTGGTTCTGAAGCACAATCATTTATTAAAGAAAGATTTATTCCTCAATTCCCTGAAAGTGATAGAAGCTGTACAGTGAACTCAAGATGTATGCAAATCAAATGAAAACACCAATGACTTAAATCCAGGCAAGCCTATTGTTCTTTTAAATGACAAGTGAAATTCAGAGTGTTGGTGAGAATGTGGAGAAATTTGAACTTTCATATGTTTCTAGTGGAACTATGAATTGTAAAAACACTTGAGTAATCTGTTTGGCAGTATCTTTTAAAGCTAAATATGCACATGCCCTATGACCCAGCCATTCTACTCCTAGGTATATATTCAACAAAAATGCACAGATATGTGCAGCAAAAGACATATATGAGAATGTTTGTAGCAGCACTTTTTTGTAATAGCCTCAAAATGTAAATGACCCAAATGCTGATCAATGGTAAAATGGGTAAATTATAGTATTGTATAATGGAATACTGTACAGCAATGAGAATAAACAAATTACAACTGTATACAACGATGTGCACAAATCTCATGAACATAATGTGGATCAGCCAGACACATGCAGGCCATTGGATAAATTATAAAAGCAGGCAAAATGAAACTATGATGTCTGAAATTAGGAAAGTGGTTACCCTCAGGGTTAAAATTATGAAAAGGAGCATGAAAGAGTTTCTGGGAGCTGGTAATGCTTTATTTATTGCCCTAGGTGCTGGTTAGATACATGAGTTCAGTTTGTGAAAACTCATTGAACTGCACACTTATAATGTATGTACCTTTCTGTTTATCTGTTATACTTCAGTAAGTTAAAAAGTAAAACATGTATGTTTATTCTTTATGACTTGTTTAAATTGTCCTCACTTATTATTATGCCAGACTAATGACTATGATCATTATTTGATATTCAGACAACATTTGGTTTTTAACAAAGGTGCAGGTTAAAAATATAAATACATATATGCTTGAAAAATAGCCATTTATATCTAAAAGTGACATGATAAAACAAATAGACAAAACTAAATTGCTTTGTCATTTGTCATAAGCATTTTCCACTTCTGGATTGAGCCGATCTCAAGCAAATCTATATGCATGGGGGAGGAGGTGGTGGTAATCTCAAGAACAATCAACTGTCAATAGTAGCCATCATAGTAATAATAATAATAATTAATAGTAATAATAATAGACCCTGAGTAAAAACAAAACAAAACCAAAAACATTTACTGAACATTTTGTTGTGAGATTGTAGATACACCAAGTATTATAAATGAAACAATGTGGGTAATACAATCATGTCTGTGAGTCGGGCTGTAAAGAGGTTTTCATCGGAAATATTAAGATTCACAGAGCTTTCAAACCCAAGGGCCAGGCAGGTAATGCAAATGAGTAAAGCAGGCCAGATGAAATACAGTGGTATTTGGTGGTGAGGTCTGGAAAAACTATAGAACGACAACCCCTAACCGAGAACCAGAGTAGGTTCAGACCAGACACATCAGGAACTAGTATTGGGCCCCACCCCAGATCTACTGAGTCAGAAACTGTGGGGGTGGAGCCCAGTAATCTGAGTTTTAACAAGCTTGATTCTGATCCATGTTCCTGTATGAGAACCACCAATCTAGATGTATTCTCTTTCTCTCTCTTTTTTTTTTTTAAATATGTGGACTTAAAAAAAAAAAAATCTTCTGGCCAGATTTGACCATAAGCTACCAATTTATAGCTCCTGATGAGAATCAAATGAATTTGTATAACTCTATCAGTTCTGTATTTCCCTTTTCTAAGATAAAGACAGATGGTATGTTGAAATTAAGTTTTATTCTCCCCAGGACTGAGACCTATCTAGGCATACCTAGGGTCTGATTGTGATAGGCCTTCTGGAATTCTATTTATAAGACAAGTCAGGTTGCTCCAGGAACTAATCCCAAGTGGAAGAAAGAACCAAGGTACAGAGGTTGCATTAAGGGCAAACAGATGAGATTGAACGTGTCTGTGTACAACATGGTGTCTTCCACTTAGATTGTTTGTAGCCCAGCCTGGTGGACTCCTTCATTCTTTCAACAAATAGCTGTTGAACATCTACCTAATCTGTCCCTGAGCCCTGTGACTCCAGGGTGGCTGTAATATAAGACCTAGTAAAGGCTAAAGGAACTATTTTTTGCTCATCTTCTTAGGACATGAGGACGGCAGCAGTGTTGGCACCAGGACCCTCAACACTTCTGATGCCCTGAAAGTTGGACCTCTTGCACATGTCAGCAGCTGCAACAATGGCGGTGGTACCTTTGGTGGGCAGTGATGACACGGCTTGGAGGACTGGCAGCAGCTAGCTGCTTGTATCAGGTAAGGAGAATTGTGAACACAGTTTGGCAGCTGAGAGAACTGTTCTTGGAGCACCCAGGCACACATCCCTGAGCACCTTGACCTAGTGGAGGTAGAGGATATCCCCCCAGCAGAGACAGGGAAATAAGATTTTTGTAGCTGTGGTTGTTACTATGTGTAACATAAATTACACATAGGAAAACATGGAATCCTTAAGGGAATCTATGACTTTTTGTTTTTCTGTCTTGGCAACATTTAAAGAACTACATGTTGCTTCTTGTGATAAAGTTAAGGTAATGTGCCTGCAGTGAACATGGTAGACACAAGTATCAGATTTTGAACATTTGGTTTCCTTTTTTAAAATAAAAAGCAGGAAGATTATTATAGGCTTTGGGACATGAGGTTTAAAAAAATCACAGCACACATTCCTAATTTTTTCCCCTGTCTCAAAACATCCCTATAAAATGAAACAACATTGCTGATGAGCTATTCTTTGGCACCAGTGGCCAGCTTATTGCAAAGGAAAAAGGACTTTGGAAGCAGCCACTCCTTTCCTGCCAGAATTTTGAGAGATTGATGCCCTTTTCTTTCATTTCTGTAATGCTTATAGCCTGCAGATTTTCCATTACTTTCTGAAATCCCAAACTGAAGTTTATTAAAAACATATTTGTTATTCTACACTCTCTCTCTCTCTCTCTCTCTCTCTCTCTCTCTCTCTCTCACACACACACACACACACACACGTTTGGGAGTTTGGAGACCACAAGTGTTGGTAAGACCTAAGGAATTTCCCCTGAGTTAACCAGAATTTTCCAAAAAGGGTCAAGCAGTTGCTACACTGCATTTAACTTGGTGTTTTATGATACCTAATGAGCAAGGCATGTGGTATGTCAGTATTCCAACGAGATAGCAATACCTTGCAGATTTTTAATTTTCTAGTAGAGCCATACTTCCCGCCCCCCCCCTTGCTTTCCATTTATTTGAAACCAACTTGTTAAGCCCAAGCAAACTAAAAGAGTCACTTTAGCTTGATACTTTAGTTCTAACCAACCCAGAGCATCTACAGTAGATCAGGAGATGTGACCCTTAACCAGCCATGTCTCCCCAGAGAAGTCAGTTTCTATGATGGGGCTCAGTTTAACTATTGGTCAAATTGGAGGTAGGCAAATGGGATGGAGTTCTATGATCAGCGCAGAGTTCTGTAGGTAGAATTCTGCGTTCCTTAACCTGTAGATTAAGAGAACTCTCCTTGCAGAATCCTAATGATGGATCAAGTATCTGAAAGGAAGTTTTGCTGTGAGAGGACTCTCAGAGGCTATTGATATTACAGATTTCTTCTTTATAAAGAGCTGGAGTAATTTTCTGTGTACCTTTGGGTACAAGTGACCGATATTGTTACCAGTCAATCGAAGGCTTGTTTCTGTATTAACTTTACAGAATTTAGTTTCCTGGAATACAAATTGCTAACAGGAATATGAAACATTTATTCAATTCCGTTCATGATGCTTCTTTCCTTGATGCTCCTCCTTCTGGCTCCTACCTTTCCCTTCCCTTCCCTTCCCTTCTCTTCCCTTCCCTTCCCTTCCCTTCCCTTCCCTTCCCTTCCCTTCCCTTCCCTTCCCTTCCCTTCCCTTCCCTTCCCTTTTTTACATGATTTTATATGTGGGTTAACTGATTATTCCCAAGTACAGTTTTTCTCACATTACTTTCCTACTCAAAAACCTTAATAGGTCTCTGTTCACCACCGTATAAAACAAACTCAAGGGGCGCCTGGGTGGCGCAGTCGGTTAAGCATCCGACTTCAGCCAGGTCACGATCTCGCGGTCCGTGAGTTCGAGCCCCGCGTCGGGCTCTAGGCTGATGGCTCAGAGCCTGGAGCCTGTTTCCGATTCTGTGTCTCCCTCTCTCTCTGCCCCTCCCCCGTTCATGCTCTGTCTCTCTCTGTCCCAAAAATAAATAAATGTTAAAAAAAAATTAAAAAAAAATAAAATAAAATAAAATAAAATAAAATAAAATAAAACAAACTCAAGGTAGCCAAAGTCCTTCCTTTACCATCTGACTCAACCTAGCTTCCCAACCCTGTGGCCCATTACTCCATTTACCACAGACTTTCAAGCTTCTTCCTCTTTATTTACATATCCACAAATGTTCTGGCCCTGTGCCTTTGTCCCTGTGGTTCTTGCTTCTCGTTTCCACCTGTTCATATTCTACCTATTCTTAACATTTAAGGCCAAGATCCTGCTCCCAGCTTTTCTTGGTCTCTTTCAGCTGCAGACAACCTCTTTTTTTCCTGAACTCTTATGGCAACTTATCTGCATCTCTTTCATAGCGGTTATCACCTTGTACTCTATATTATAGATATTTATGTTCATATCTTTCTCACTAGATAATCAGTTTCATGAAGTCAGAGAATATCTGTTCCATATTTATACTCCTCAAGGTACCTGGCACATAGTGGTTTTTCCACAAAGGGTTGTTCAGTGAATAAGTAGTATCAGAGATACCATGGAAATTTGAACTTATCCAAACTCCTTCAACCCAGTTAAAAACACTCATGGGGCACTTTTTAAATTATGAATTTCTCCACTTATTTGTTATCTCTGTCTTCATCTCATAATTTCTCAGCTTGTCTGGTTTCAGTGAGAAAAAATAGGAAAAAAAAGAAGAATGAGAAAGGTACAATAACTTAAACTACAGATGTAGCAAGTAATATCCAGTTCCCTGCCTTCAAGCTGTGCTGCAGTCAGCTTCCAAAAGTGGTTTAGGTTCACATGATTTGTGTACTGTGATGTTCAAATGTTTGTTAAAGCTGATGCAACTCTATGAGAAAGATCAACACTAACTCTGTGGATGGTACATACAAGTTTTAATCCAGTGAGGTGAAGAATTTACTTAAAGACTGCTACATGTGGGCCATCGAGAAAAGTCATGACCTTGGTTTTGGGGGAGAAAGGGGCAAAGAGTAGCCACTCAATGGAAAATCTGCACCCAAGTGGAAACAGTCAGATGACCAGTCACAAGACAGTGCTCATAATACGTATAGACACACATATATGTTAAAGTGGCTATATATTTATATAAATATACATATCTACAAAATATATAACGTAACATATATAAACCACATTATTCACTTCTGTACTTTCTTTGTATGATGTTTGCCAATTTTTAGACAGTTTTGTATCTTGAAATTAATCTTCAGAACTCCACACCACATACTTGAAATATACCTATGTGCATGTAAAAATAATTACCAAATATCAACAAACTTGAAAAAGTAGTGATAATTGGAAATGCCCATCCACTTATGAATGGTTGAAATGTGGCATACCTATACAATGGAATACTATTCAGTCATAAACAGGTCTGGTAAATGCTACGACATGAATGAACCTTGAAAACATTATGTTTAGTGAAAGAAGCCAGGCACCAAAACCACATATTGTATGATTCCATTTATATGAAATCTCCAGAACAGGCAAATCCATGGAGACAGAAGGTAGCTTATTGGCTGCCAGCGGCTGGAGGAAGAGGAAATGAGAGTGACGGCTGGTGGCTATGGGGTTTATATTTTGAAGTGATGAAAATGTTTGGAATTAGAGTCGTGATGGTTGCCTAACTTTGTGAATATACTAAAAACCACTAAATTGTACACTTTTAAAAGGGGTGACTAGTATGGTATGTGAATTGTATCTCAGTGTTAAAAAATACCAGTTGAAGATTGCTCAACAAGGAGGTTTTCCAGAGGTTTTGTCTAGCCAGCATTCAAGAGGAGAAAGATGGTAGTCACTGAGAAGCACAGTCTTCAGCATACTTGCTCTCAGGGGTCATAGGTTTTATGGTAACTGAGCAAGAGATCTGCTAAATGCTTCTTCCCTATTCCTCTGGACTGAAGATGAATGCCCACAGCTATTACATTAGAGTGAAATAAAACCTTTTATTTGTATATTGGCTTATAATTTCTCAAGCACATTTACCCTCATTAGCTCATTTATTCCTCATGTTTTATTTCTAACTGTACTTATCTTTTACACTTATTTAAAATTGTTCATCCATAATGAGAGCAAAAACATTCCATTTCTTATAAGTGCTATGGATTTCTCTTGGTATTTCTCTGACTCTGTTTGCTTTACTCTACTCTTTCTAATATCTTTTACCCAAATATGACCAATTCTTCTGACTTTTTGTATATACATAGTTCTTTATGTTTCTGTTCAGTTTTCTGAGTCTTTATTTTTAAGATGCTGACTTTTTTCTTCATCTATCTCCTTTTTTCTGAATAAGACCCATATATATTTTCTTTAAAACTATAATCTACTTCTTCCTTTCCCCTAATCTTTGCTAAGTGACTCCAAAAATATTTAGTTATAGCCCATGCAGTGGTAGTTGCTGACCCTATTCTGAACATTTTTATTGTAGAACCATTGTTTGTTAAATGTTTTGTAAGATATTTCTGTTTTATATTATATTTAATATAAACTGTATTTATTATACTTATTCTTTTATTACCTGTAGGCTTTGAAAGATTATTTTAATACTCCTTATTAAATGATATATAAATGGTATATAAATACCATTATTTATTCTTTTATAAATATACATCTCCTTTAATAGTCCTTTGATAATTTCCTATCATACTTTTTAGACCCTCAGTCCTTACATTCCACTGATGATCCTTCCTTATATCTTCTGGAAAGATATTTCACTTACAATTCACCTTTCTTTAGCAGAATTTGCTCTTTCCTCTCAGATGGGTGAAATTTGAAGCACGATCTCCAATTGTTGCATTTTCTTCCCTTTCAGAGTGTGTACCCATTCTATACTTTACATTTTCGGTGTTATTGCACTCCCCTTTATGTCCCACTTTTATTTTGTGGGTTTCCATACCTTTTTATCTTGTTCATTTTTGATATATTTTAAATGCTCTCTTTTTCCCTCCAAATGATGCCATTATAGCGATAAATTGCATAACAATAGCTTCTCTTCATATATTCTCAAGTTTCTTGGAATTGGCTTGCACT